GGAGCACCATCGCCTGCAGAGGATGCTTGGACTCTCTCCCCACCCCACTTTATGTGTGCCGCATTTATCCGCAGTTTTTTGTCTGGTCCATGCAGCGCCAGCGGCAAGAACATCTTAGGTGTAGGAAGTCGGAGCGCACAATTTCTGTGATGTCGCACATGTGTAATCCTAAAGCTGGCAAGAAAAATAGATGATGAATAGCCAAACAATCGCGCGATATCATCGGGAAAGTACATTACTACCGTTCTTTTCCCATCTCCTCGAAGTTTGTCTGGTCGCAAAACGCCCTCAGAAAGGCCGCGTTCATAGTTCGCGACTCCGGAGATTAGGATAGTACGCGACAATGAAAAACATATGTATTGACGGGAGATTAGGATAGTAGTAGAGTAGGAGATTGCGCTGACAAGATTAGATACGTATCGATTGAAATCGCCGGAGAGTAGTAGATTGCGATATTACGATAGTAGGATAGTAGTAGAGTAGGAGATTAGGATAGTAGTAGATTAGGATAGTGCGCTGACAAGATTAGATATGTATTGATCTATTCGCTTGAATCTACTACTCTCCAGCGATTTCAATCGATACGTATCCAATCTTGTCAGCGCAATCTCCTACTCTACTACTATCCTAATATCCTGTCGCCTACTATCCTAATCTCCCGAGTCGCGAACTATGAACGCGGCCAAACGTTCCATTATATCTAACTTTTCTTTTAGAGGAAGAGTTCTTTAGCATGTTTTGAGGCTCAGAGAAGGCTCGGTATCATTGACAACTTTTCAGGTCCTTCATGCTGTTCTGTCCTCCTGCTCTGTTCCGCTACTTCCGTCAATAGCATTGGTCGAGCAAATCGTAAAAACATTTCTCGAATCAGACGTTCGGCTGCCGTTCCCGTCTCAGTGCAGTGGTGATGACATCTTCACTTTCTACCCACTTCTTCGAGATTTCAACTTCCACTTCCATGACATCAAGGATATCATCCAATCTAAATTTCAAGGTGATTTTGATTTACCATTCTCATATTATTTTCATTTTTTTTCGAATCTTCTGCTGATGATCAGAATATTCCATACTGCAGTGAGCGAATATGTTCCATGTTTATAAAATGTGCTTTCAAGGATTACAAATGTCCTTCGCAAGTTTGAACGCGGAACATTTACGAGAGTTGGAGGAGTTCTTAGGACCATTTCAAGAGACGTTCGAGTCTTTGGCTCAGGAGCAACCCAATTTCCACAAGGTGCGCAATTTCTTGTCTACTTGTATGACCGAGTATAGGGTTTTATTCAGGTGTTGCCGGAGTGGTACGCTTTAATGCATGAATGTCATCCCTCTTCCGAGGAGACGTTACCATTACTGCGTGAGCTTAAACTGGTTAAGTGGTTGTCTATTGTTTGCTTGCCTTGTGGTCTTCGTTCTACTCACTTCGAACATTGACGATTTCTAGAAAGCCAGCGAACTTCTGATCAGAGAACAGACGTCGACAATAACGGTTGAACATCGAATTGCAGCGATACTGAATCCACGACATAATAGGAAATTGAATCTCATTTGTACAGATCATGAACGGTAAGTCTTTGTTACCTCGGCCATTAGGGTATCATTTTAGTGAGTGTAGCTTTTGATCGGAACTATGTTGTTGTACAGCTGGAAAACTATTAGCTTGCTTTATTTTTGTAATATTTTTGATAATCTGGATATACCACTGTATACCCTGGTCCACGGACTGCTTGAACTCGGTCTTTAACCCCCTCTGCTCTCTCTCGCGGGTCCCTCTCCTCTCCAAGGCTTAGTCCTAGGGCATTCACCCGTTCTCTAATCGTCTGTGCTCTAGCCATCGCGGCAGGACCATTGAGGAAAAATCAAGTAGTCCGTAAACCGAGTAACCCGTCAGCTATGAGGAATGACATAAGGGTTCCAGAGCCTTGAACGCTGGATTTTTGGCAACTGGCAAAGTTTCAAAGTTTCTTGGTCATGTTTTTCATTTGGTGAAGAACTTACCCATGGTTACGAAGTTGCTTAACAGAAATCTCTTGTTTGACAGACCATGTACTGAAACATACTTTACCCCTTCTTTACCCCGCCTTTACTGGCCTTCAGCACACAGAGTTAGGAATTGTGTGTAGGAAAAGAGTAGGAAAACGTGTTGATACGTTGAATTTATTTAGTGCCATCACGTTTTGTGTATCCGTCACCCAAAATTTACATATACCAATTGAGGCGATCTGGCTTGCACAATCGCGTCGGTCTACTTGGCCAGTCAAAAAACGCGATTTTGTCAATGCATGAATTGTTATTTACCCCGCTTTTCCTCTACATTCTGCAATAATTCATCATTTCCGGCCACGCTTTTTCCCAGTATTCTATTGTGATCCTTTTTTCTCCTCACTATCGATCCACTTCACACTCCTATTTTCATTTCCCAACGAAATATTCGTATAAAACATATTTGATCGTGGGGCATGTCTTTGAAAGCGCATTTTACGAGGAACAGGCAGCTCATCAGAAATAAAAGAAATAAGGGTAGAAGTAGTCAGTGCTGGGAGGAAAGAAAAACCATGAGAAACGGCCGAACCTGAGAAATGGACCCCTTCCTTGCCCGTTGATTTCCGCATTGATGCGACTCTCATCGGTGCTGCCCTCTTCAACGCTAACGCTCTCTCTGCTAAACGGCTAGAGAGTCAGACAGCGCGTGCCGCGCCGATAGCGCCTCGGGGAGGACCATGCTAGATCGCAGAGAGCTACCCTTCATTACGATACTACGAGCTACCCCTGCGTGTCAGCTCACACACTTGAGGGGTCCACCTGTCTTCCCACTAGGTGAGTTCCCCTTCTTCGACAAGTTGTGGAATCTTCCTTGGAACGAGCGAGGGGCAGTACATGTTCACTTTGGCAGCAAACACAAAGTTTAACTAGTCGGCAGTCTTAAGTGCATACTGTTGGATGTTATCATATCCGTTATCATATCTCGAGTAGTAAGTGCACTGCATTCGAAGTGCTGCAGTGAAAGGCGGAGGCGCCGATTCTCTCGAATTATCTTTCCTGTTCGTAACTGTTCTCTGGTGTATTTCTGCCTTTCAGGTCTCATGCGTGCGAACGGATTCGTGCGTTGTGTGGCATACGAACCAAGCATGAACCACTGAGTCGTGACAGTTCTATAGAAGGAGAACCACACCGAAAGCGGCGTCTGTTTCTGAATTCTCTGGAAGACGATCCAATTGGCGACGACGAATTGGAATGTTATCTCCGATCGCAATAACCAAAGTATTTAACTGGCATTGATTCTGTTCCGAATGCTGCAATTCATTTGTCATTTTCAGAGACGTGGTATCCTTTTGGAGTACTGTCGGCCAGGCTCAGTTCCCATCGCTGGCATTTGGCACGAAGAATTTTGTCTGTACCTGCTCTGGCACCGAAAACCACTTTTGAAGAACGACATGCAAGTGTGAAAGCCTGAGCAGTTGCACACGTTCCTAATGCTGCGATCTATGTTCGACACGGAAAGGGAGGAGTAGCTGAAATTCGTCCATTCAGCCTACAAGTGCCTGCTTTTGGCCTCGAAGATGGTCATCTCGACCGTGACGTCGCAGAAAGTCGCCTAATCAAAAGCAACGAAGAAGGTAGAGCAGTTCACTTCTTCGCTGCTGGCTGCCTGAATTGCAGCGGAATTCAATGGATCGGGTGGAACCATATGATGTCGATGGCCTTAGGAACTTCTTTCTATGAGAATATGACAATGTTAGAAAGAGGAACTACTGAACTCAGGCCGCAACTGCGTCTCACCTGCCTAACTGTATTTCTCTTCAGAGCAATATTTTGTTAATACTCTTTCTTTGCTTTACAAAATTATTCATTTGCTGTATTTGTTGACTTCAGGGGTTAGAAAAATGACTGTACAGGAAATTGTATTTTCGCAAATCCGGTCTGAGTTAGTTACGCGTCAGCTCGGCTTTACTTTGTATTTTCGGGAATTTTCATCTCTCAATGTACATTTCTATTCTTGACAAAACATACGAGTATTGTGCCATATGAGTGCTGGTCTTGATCCGTAATATTACGCGTTTGACGAGATTTTACGGAATTTTTAGGTTGAGACAGACCAACGCTCGCAAGGCGACTTTACAGTTATTAAGAATGTGAAGCTCGTCGAGATGGTGGCTGTGCAGAAAAGTACGCGAGTGTAGTGGAAAAATAAATAAAAAAAAAAAAACAAAAGAAAAAAGGAAATAAAAAAATAACCCTTTTGTTATGGGCCTTGCGCTGTCGTAGCCAGCTTCCATATACAGGACAGAGCTGGTCTAAATTTCGGCCAATTTCTAATAAATGCACGGGTGTCCCCCAAAGGCCCATCGCGCGGCGAAGGAAGAGACGCAGACGCGGCAAAAGGACGAGTCGCAGCGCATACTGTAGCGGTTAGGCGTCAGGTTAAAGAGTGTACCATACTACGTCTCATATCGCACAGCACGCGCTGCGACTCGTCCTTTGCCGCATCTGCGTCTCTTCCTTCGCCGCGCGATGGGCCTTCTGGGACACCCTAAATGCATCCTACAACGAGCTCGCGTGACTTCGCAGCTGTGAAAGATGCTTTACATGTTCACCGTTCAGGCAGGAAACGCTAGCAGATTGATTTTCAGAGTATTTGTTAATGCAGTAGCTCGTGTTCCATCCGTATCAGCGCTGGAAGATCTCATCACATATCATTTTACAAAAAATGCATTCAAATTCTATTTTGTGATAGTTCTACGATAAAGTTTATTTTGTCACAATGTTCGCTTCTTTGTTTTCCTTGGAAAGCAGTGGCCTTGATTGTAGGGATTGTTGTCTAGTTTCATGTTTCGAGTTGCTTTGAGAGCTACCTTCCCTTATCGTGCAAACACATCAGAAAGGCACAATTCTGTACCGTCAAACTAAAACTCAGCAGGTTGCCAGGCGCACACCGAGAAACGGCGCAGAAGTATTGTTCATTTTTCGGTCGTGCTTCCCTATTATACGAGGGGGAAGTGGTGCAGTGACAAGTGGCGCGCTCACCACGCGAGCGGTCCGGGGATCAAATCCTGGGTCGTGAGTCGCCCGGGCCAACCAAGCCTTCCATCCCTCCGGGGTCGGTTAATTGGTACCAGACTTGTCTGGGAGGATAAAAAACTGACTTGTACATCGGCTGGCCCCCGCAAGTCATTGTATAGGCCACATCGCATTCAAACGCCACTACGAATGTACAAATGGAAGTAGAATGCGTGCCGCATCCCAAAAAGGGATTGATCAACGGCAAATGCTTTATCCTTTATCCTTTAATCGCTCTTAGAATTCTCTTGACCCGGCCGATGCAGCCGGAGCCAATTGTGGTAGTTTGGAGCACCCTCCGAAGTGGTGGTGTAGCATTTTTCTCGTACTGTGTCTCTCACGCGGGTCCTCAATATATATATTTCAACTGCTTTCTTCAAATGTTTGCTGGGTTCTTTTGCGCCTTAGTTTCTCAACTAACACAATCTCTCACAAAGTGAGATCACTCTCAAGAGAGGGTCTCCGAGAGTATATTAGAAACCCGTACGTCCCAGTGAGCAGGTGATTTCGAGCACTAGATAATATCAGATAGATAGGAGAAACTTCGCTAGGAGTTGCTAGATCAAAAAAAGGGCGTGCGCGTTTGCATGTGGTAGGACACCAAGCGAGGACAAATAGGGCCACCGAATCTCATCGCATAGGGTGCAAAAGATTCAACAGCAACGCTGTCTTTGAAGCACTTACACCTGTGGTTTTCGCGTTTCCAGGACTGAATAAGGGACTTCAGGGCGGAGAGCATGGATATTGACCTGTACCTGTAGAAATGAAGAATCAAAGAAAGCCAACGAATTGTGCCACTGCCAAACTACACAAAAACTCGTAGAGATTTGACTGTGTCAACAGTAAAATTTGGAAGTTTCCTAAGAGCAAATGGTAAGACTTTTCAGGATAGGAAATGGGTGCCCTGTTCTAAGCGATGCGAGCAACCAGTTCTGGTTGCCAATACGAAATCGTTCGATACTCGAAGAGGAAGAAGGCTCTTGACTTCGTTGTTAGCGCACTTCGCAACAGGATGCTCCCATACAACAAAAGGGAAGATGGCCGCTGTTGGGAGGTGTTTGGAGTTTGGAGATGGACAGCTGAGAATGACTCCGATACCGAAAATTCTTGGAGAAGAAGTCCTGCCCTTGTGATGAAACAGCATAAGACCGGTTTATGTACTATGGAGGGCTGATTGTGGATCGGGCAGTTAGAGCTAAACTTTGCGCCCAACATAGTTCACCTCGTATAACTGAAGCCGCAGCAATCGTCAAGGGTAAATTCGTCTTGTAAACACTTATTACACAGTAATTGCAAGACCACAAAAATGTCGCGAAACAACACCAACAAGTAATTCGAGAGCTGGCTGGAACCTCTCGCGCGCCAATTTTCTCAGACCCTGGCACCGTCCAACCTACCAATTGGGCCGCACTGCCAATAACAGCCCTCCTAAACAGCAAATAGATTCAGTAACCGCGATGACCCTAAAATTTGGGTACCTAATTATTCGAGCCACAAGTGAAGGTTTTGCTCACTACCCAGCATTCTTGTGAAACATTCGCAAGGCGGACTGCGGCCAAAAACAGCAGGTGACAAACAAAAATAAGGAATAGAATTTTGGCCTGTTTTTGTTTGTATCTGGCTGCAGTTCGCCTTGCGAATGTTTCACAAGATTGTGGGATTGTTAACAAAATTTTTGCCTCCATTCCGTCTCGAGACCGAGTGTACGAGGTATCAACTTTCCACTGCTCATCCTCCTCTCTCTATGTGGATGATGGCCCATGCAGCAATGATGGGAATAAAATTATGCAGAAATAGATACTTAGCTGCCACAGAGAGGTCCTAAAAATTTTGAGATCTGGCATCCGTCGAGCCCTGCCAGCGATCGTCCTGCGGTTGACCCTGCCACGATCGTCCTGGCTGCTATGACTGACGAGACATTTCAAGCAATTCATGCTAATTATGCAAAAACAATGACAAACTGTGGTCAGAACCGTCAAGCAATGAAAGTCAGTTAGGGTAAATCAGTACCATCTGCCTACAATGGAGGAGCAACAACATGTTGAGAAAAACAAGCCTCTTTCAGAAGTCTCACCAGTTGTTCTCGTTCACACTGCTTGTCATTAGGACTGCCGTGGAAAGAGCAAGGACCTTATATTTTCTGAATTGTGGGAAGCTTCAAGGAGGAACGGAGCACCTTTGTTTTCGTTTGTTGGGTTCCGTCTGATTCTTGTGATTTATAGCGACCATCTCGAGTCCATCCCTGTGCCATTTCGGTTCCTGTTCTTATCAACGCATCGCCACTCACTCGCTATCATTTCACGTGACGCCAAAACCTGTCCCTGTGCGTGATTCTTTTTTTTTCATAAATTATGATGCCAATCTTGCAACTTTACAAGCTAGAGTGAATTTTCATTACAGGATCAGCCGATTGTGAACACCGTTTTTGTATCTTTCTTCAGTTATTATGAAACTTTTATGAAGACTATTGATCACTGCCCATAAGGCTCACGATCGAAAACTGATTACGCTTGGTTCTGACCAGGAAGGTCTTTCAGGGCGTGCCAAGCTTTTTGAAAACGGTCTTTTGCATGATATAGGGGCACATGCGGGAACCACAGAACCATGGTTAATTTTTCCTGAACGGCCCTCTGAATACCAGAAAAGGGGGTCCCTAGTTCGATTCCTCGTGGTGACAAATTTTTGCATTTCGAGTTGACGTTTCCAAAATTCGCGCAAAATGGAGTTAGCATGAATTAGTACCATATTCATGATTAGGACCGTCAGTAACCCTTACAAATAGACTTTGATTAAAAACTGGTGAAAAAGGTGTGACACCAAAACGGCCCCACTTTGGTGTCACACCTTTTTCACCAGTTTTTTCAAAAAGTCTTTTTGTAAAGAGTTACTGACGGTCCATAATGAATATGACATTCATCGTTCATGCAATGCCATTTTACACGAGTTTTAAAACGTCAACTAGGTATGCAAAACTTTGTCACCACTAGGAATCGAACTACATAGGGACACCTTTTTAGTATTTCAGGGGTGTTTAGGAAAAATTTCTGTGAGTTTCTGTTGCATTTCCGCATCAACGCAGAAGACATTTTGGAAAAGCTGTGAGAGGGCCCGGCCCCCCCCGCCGTAATGAAGACTTTTCCTGATGAGTGGCATCCGATTTCAGTAACGATTGTCCACAGAGAAATCCTATACTTTTTT